AGAAGAAGAAGAAGAAGAAGAAGAAGAAGAAGAAGAAGAAGAAGAAGAAGAAGAAGAAGAAGAAGAAGAAGAAGAAGAAGAAGAAGAAGAAGAAGAAGAAGAAGAAGAAGAAGAAGAAGAAGAAGAAGAAGAAGAAGAAGAAGAAGAAGAAGAAGAAGAAGAAGAAGAAGAAGAAGAAGAAGAAGAAGAAGAAGAAGAAGAAGAAGAAGAAGAAGAAGAAGAAGAAGAAGAAGAAGAAGAAGAAGAAGAAGAAGAAGAAGAAGAAGAAGAAGAAGAAGAAGAAGAAGAAGAAGAAGAAGAAGAAGAAGAAGAAGAAGAAGAAGAAGAAGAAGAAGAAGAAGAAGAAGAAGAAGAAGAAGAAGAAGAAGAAGAAGAAGAAGAAGAAGAAGAAGAAGAAGAAGAAGAAGAAGAAGAAGAAGAAGAAGAAGAAGAAGAAGAAGAAGAAGAAGAAGAAGAAGAAGAAGAAGAAGAAGAAGAAGAAGAAGAAGAAGAAGAAGAAGAAGAAGAAGAAGAAGAAGAAGAAGAAGAAGAAGAAGAAGAAGAAGAAGAAGAAGAAGAAGAAGAAGAAGAAGAAGAAGAAGAAGAAGAAGAAGAAGAAGAAGAAGAAGAAGAAGAAGAAGAAGAAGAAGAAGAAGAAGAAGAAGAAGAAGAAGAAGAAGAAGAAGAAGAAGAAGAAGAAGAAGAAGAAGAAGAAGAAGAAGAAGAAGAAGAAGAAGAAGAAGAAGAAGAAGAAGAAGAAGAAGAAGAAGAAGAAGAAGAAGAAGAAGAAGAAGAAGAAGAAGAAGAAGAAGAAGAAGAAGAAGAAGAAGAAGAAGAAGAAGAAGAAGAAGAAGAAGAAGAAGAAGAAGAAGAAGAGGAAGCAGCATACCTGGAGTCGTTTGCCCAGGTCAGGCTTCGTTTGATGTTGAATGATTGAATCTCTCTTTCCCCAGGTCAGTCTTCTTCGTTTGCCCTAATTTGCTTTGCTTCTCTGCTTCTCTCATTTCATTTTAGGTCCCGATTTGGCTTTTAAGTTGCCCAAAAAATCCTTCAAATCTGGATCGCATGGAGTCGCGATCCAGATGCGATCCTACCGATCCCGTCGATCCCACCACGATCCCACCATGATCCTGCTTGGGGTCGATCCGATGTACGATCCGGATCGAATAGTGTATAATGAGTCGTAGGATCACAACCTTGCTAATAAGGTGGTGATGCCCTGTTTGAATGTCAAGATCAAAATATTTCCATTAAATTTTTACCATGCCTTGTATTTCCACGCAACCCAGATTTCTTTTGAGAGGAAACCCTAGCTCAAAAGCTCTAAGATTAAGGTAATACTTAGAAAATCATCCATTTGTCTTCCAGCCCTTTGGTTTTCGTTTTGGGACTTTTGGGGATTAGGTCTATGAAAAGAGAAGAAGTAGAGGAGAAGAAGCAAGAAGCTGAAAAAAGAAAAAAAAAGGGGCAAAACGACGTCATTTTGCTTGCACTGCAGGATGCCTTGCAGGAAAACCCTACAGAGGATCAGGACTCAGATGGTGGGGTGTGATTAGGAAAATAGATGATGAGTGGTGATGGTGGGGTGTGATAATTTTTATGTACAAATACCTAAAATCATGTAAAATTATAAAATATTACAATTAATGAACTAAAAATATATTTTAATGGTCTAAAATAATTTGGCCAAAACGGGTGAAGGTTGGGATTAAAGCTTAAATTCAATTTTTCTACTAAGAAATTCATAAAATAGGATATTCCAATTTTCATCATCGGGTGTTTGGAAGAAAACGCCCAAATCTTAAGCCGGTCAAAATAGGGTATCTACACCCTGCTACCCCTAGCCCCTTCCACGATGAGAGAGAGAGAGAGAGAATTATGAGAGAGAGTGTGAGAGAGACTGTGCAACAGAGCGGGCAATTGATCGCAATCACTCTCACAATCAAATTTGATATTTCCAAATCTGGTTGAAGAGAGTGAAGGAAAGAAAGATAAGAAAGAGGGAAAAGAGAAGGGGAAGGCAAGACTTGGGGTAATGGTGGTGGCAGCGAGAAAAGGGCTTGAAAAGTCATCGGAGGTTACGGATGGGAGCGGCAGCGATGATGGGAGTGAATGAAAGGGCTAAGAAAGAGTCAAAGGGGGCTAGGGTTGGTGATGGTTGAAAAGGTGGCCGCCAACTAGAGAGGGTGAAGAGGAAGGAGGAAAAGAGGAAAAAAAGAAATTAGGGCAAAAAATAGAAGGGCAACAACATAATTTTTTACCATGTTTTTCAAAAAACAGTTTAACTTCCATATCATATGCAATTATTTTAGATTTCTCCTTATTTTACAATTATTCATTTCTCATACTATTTTTCTATAATTTTCCCTAAAATTTTAGAAAGCAGATCCTCTCCTGTCCTTAATTGGACATGAGTCCAATCTAGGCCACTTTGGGCCTACTTTGGGACGGGCCCGCCTCGACGATTCAAACCATTCATTTTGTAAAACTCATTGAGCACATTATTCCTACAAAAATTAAATTGATTAGATATCAATAATCACTTGATTAAATCACATTTGTCTAGAGAAAAAAAAAAATTTGTATGACAACGTAATTTAATGTGTGGCAATGGTTTTTTAATTTATATATGTATGATTACTAATTATTACCATCGTTGCTTAACGGTTCTCTTTTTCAAACTCTTAAAAATAAGATACAAACAGAAAAGAAATATATAAGATTTGTATATAGAATGATTTGATTGCATTGTGACTCACAATTTTAAAACATAATGTCTGTCAAAGTGACATTTAACTACCTAAATGTCAACCATCCCATGCCATGATTATTGATCAAAATTGAATAAGAATTAACATTTTCCTATATATATTTTGATGAACGCATCTCATATATATAATTAGGATATATATATATATAAATATATCAAGCATTATACAAAAAGTTTTGTTTCACTTATTGATTACACTACACAGGCAGTCACACATCCCTTGCCTAGATATAGAAAAGTTTAGCATCCAGTTCAAAGTACCTAAAATATTGAGTAAAGATATTTGAGAGGGGAGATTTGCGCCGTTAGTACAGCCGAGCTAAGATGGGACAGATCTGTTTTGCTCGGTCTTAAAGACCGGCTGACCGGCGTGAACTAAGCCTGGCCGAGCTGCGACTCGCAAATATTCGGCAGTGCACACAGCCAAGTGGCGAGACCGGGCTACCGATAGCTCGGGCTAAACTATAGACAAGCGAGGGATGGTACGTCTCTGACCAGTGAGCCGAGATGGGCAGATTCCAGAGAACCTTGGATGAAGGTAGAACGGACGGAGGCCGGCATGCCTCGCGACCGGTATGCCACGACAAACCGGTCAACGCCAGCCCGGCCCCTGAGCATCACCCCGCCGCCCCTTTGCCAAGGGGCAGTCCGGTGGGACATAGCGCGGTTGAGCACCTGTAGTGATAGTTCTTCGTGGGAGATAGGCCGGTCATGGTACTGCGGTCAGGTGTGCCACCTGGGCCAATGGCGCAAGGGAAGGGACATCTGCTCCACGCATGCCTCAATACCGTTAGACAGTTCTGTGTGTACTGGTGGGAGGACTAAGCCTTTACACGCGTAAGGTGGTGAGAGGCGAGCACTGCCACCTGTCTTGGGAAGGACAGCAGAGGTAGTGCGCGCATAATCTTGAGGCTGCATGGCCAGCCTTGAAATAGGGAGGAGGACGAACGTTAGAGGTATGCAACTTCTCCCCCAAAAGAAAATACTCTCTCTCTATATCTGTCTTCTCCTTCCTCAAGTGGACTGACTTGATCATCGGAGGGTCTATCCGGCACACCACCGCAGGGCAGCTCACCGTTTCTGTGTTATCAGGTAGACGCCGTCGAGAGAAGCTTGGAGTACAAGGAGTACGGAAAGCAGAAGATATTTCGCTCCCGTACAATATTGACACCTAATAAACTACACATCAAAAATAAATAAATAAATAAACTAATTTATTCCTAGCAATGCTGTAAAATATTTTACTCTGGATCCTTCTTCAGTCGAATGATAGCACATTTCACAATAAGCCCACTCTTCCACAGCTCAGCATGATCCTCCAGAGAGAATTCCATTGTTCTAACATTTTTTGGTGACATTTTAAACTCACCCAACTGGATATCAAACCAACTTCCTAAAGGCTTTTCATTTAAACTTTCATTGCGTGCTCACTTTTTTGAATTTGGAAGAATGATGGTAAGTTTTAACGAGAAATCTTGATATTTGATCATCCTCACAACAAAAACAATTTCGTAAACTATTCCTGGTGAGAGATCAATTGCCCCATTAACTTGCCCTCTAACATCTAACCAACATACCTGTAATAGCTCAGCCACATCAATCTCTTCACCACGGCATGCCAAACCAGGTAAATGTTAAAACTGTCCATGTTCCTTATAAATAAATAAATAAATCCAGAACCACAAATTTTTGTTTCCTGCACAATTAATATATATATACAATTTGCCCAATTCATGAACAAATGTTCCTTGAAGAAGTAACTCACAGTTAGGCCCTATTGCTTTAGGTCATGCCATTGATCGGTTTCATTGATTAAATGCTAAATAGCCTTAAGTCAACATAGCATAACATGACATGAAGTTCTTAAGCTATACCCATTATTTAACTTACCTTGTCTCCTTCAATGTGGTCCATCCCCAATATTGAGGATTTTCATTCCAACAGATATCAATTTCTCTTGCAAATAGCACAAAGCAGTTCTTGTTTGACTTCTTGTCGACAAAATACTTCTCCAATAGGCAGTAATGACAACACATGCATGGATAGCAATAATTAATGACAATAATGTGAGACCAAAAAACAAAAAAGGAAAAAAAAAAAAAAAAAAAAAGCAATATCATGTATGGGTGGCATATATTTTTGTATTTCAAAGTTAAGTTTCAATCCATCACTATGAAATATGAAATTATACTGATTCTGAAATAATAGTGTGACTAGTTCATATATGAAATGCGCTTTAAGTAAAACTTGCCAGTTTGTTGGGCTTTAAGCATACTCCAGTGCAGAGCTGCTCACACAGCTTGTCAGGGGAAGACGTATCAATTGATATATTTGCATCTTTCAAAATCGCTAGGAAATTAAGTGGGGGCCTTGTTATTCCTTTTCTTGCTGCAATTTCCTTTGCTTTCCTTGATGAATTTGCCTTGCTAGTTTGTTCAACTTGCCGGATCTCTGAAGTCCCATTAGGCACCATCTAGCCACCACCAAAAGGAAAAGCAAAATTAAGGAAACAATAGTTATAAAAATAAAATAAAAAACAAAATAATAAAATCTAAATGCTATTTCAGATTTTAAGGGATAGAAAGAAAGAAACAACCACATACATTCACATCTGGTGCACCATCAATTTGCATAGAGAAAGAGGACCTCAAGAAGGGGGCTTTGATGATGGGATTCTCCTTTCTTTTTATAATATTCTCTTCCCCTTCATTCTGTAAGGAAGTTTTTTTTTTTTTTTTTTGACATGTCCAAATGATTTCAGATTCTATCATCAACCAAATGGGCTGACCTGGACATTAATACAAGCAAATTGGAGGCCATGTACACAAAGTGACCTCCAATTTGTTAATGATTCCCTCAGCCAACAACTTTGAATCCTAAGAGGTGGTGTACTTTTTACATGGCTGACAATTTGAAGCACTTTTTTGTCTTTTGAGATACAGATTCTGTACCCTACTATGCTAATAACCAAGTGTCACTTTCTATGTTATTAGGCAAACACAAGTATAAATGCAAATGAGTTTCACCATGTAAACCGATTATAATTTAGTAGGACACCACGTGACAAATGCCTTAAAAGTACCTAAAAATTGCTTGTCTTGTGGACATGACCAAGCCAGGTTGGAGAATTCTTAACTCGGGGATTATATATATATATATATATAGAGAGAGAGATTGGTGGGCATTAAATTATAAAATAAAATATATAAAAATAATAAAAAAACAAAAAGATGATACTTCATAGTATTTTAAAGAAACACTTGCATAATATGAGACCCTATAAAAAGTTCTCTATGACGCGAATGGGATTTTTTTTCTTCTAAATGATGAAGCTTGTCACTGGCTGGCAAAACATGTGACATGTTGGTATTTTTACTCAACTAAAAATTTAAAACTTCTTCAAGCTTGCAGTATGAAGTTATTAAAGTTTATCCCAAGGAGGTGTTGGGGATTATTGATTCCATGAATGTAAACAGAAGCATACACACACACTAAAGAGAAAAATATACAGAGATTTACATGAATTGGCGCAAACTTGCCTATGTTTGCAGGCAAGAGAAAAAATACAATCATGAGACTAAAAAACACTCAAACTTGACACAAATACCTGAGCATTTAAACAATCTCTATTTCCATGCTCAAGGGAAATTGAGCCCTGAAGCAAACCCACTACCCCCACTCCCAATATTTTTCTCCCTTACATCTCTACAAATCCTCTCAATCTCACACACCTAGAATTCCCTTAAACTCACTCGCAACAAAGCAAGAAGACTAACACAAGCATGATTTTCAAAATTGCATTTACAAAAATTTGTAAATCGCAGTTAAGAACGTCTGCATGTCGATAATGCATCTAACTTCATCCTATCCACTCATGCATATACTAAATAGAATGGCTTAAACTACTAAAATCTCACATTGAAGTCACTTTGCAATCCTAAACCCCCTCTCCCAATACTACACAAAAACGTTGGACTAACCCTACTTCTATAATTGTTTTCTATAATCTTTATATTCCAAATTAAAATCGTGCTGCCAATTTTCTCAAAGTCCCAAATTTTTACTCTATTTGATTTTGGAAGACCCAAAAAAAATTCTCCACGTATATCCTAAGGCTCAACATTAATTATAAAAATAAAAACATAAATAAAACATTCTATTTTGTAATCCATTTGTTGATAGTGATGGTGGGCTTCAATATATTTTGTATTAATTTGTGATGTCTCACACACAAACAATTGAATGAATTTTATTTCAAACAAAAGAATAACAAATACAATTTTGTGGGTTTTTATCTCCCACCTCTCTATCTCTCAAACCTCTTATGGGTTTCTTGATTGTGTGATTGATATCTATACAACAAACTATCATCATCTATTTATAGGTTTGTTTCCGTGTACAAACCGTGTGTTGAATTCCATAGCTTAAGTGTTAAGCTTCTTATTTAGTTCCAGCTCATGGTCGGTGGTAGCTTCCATGAAGCTTCATCATCTTCTTCAAACTTCTGGTAAGTTGTCTTCTACCATTTTCAAGTTGCTTCTGGAGTATACTTGAGGATTCAAGTTTACTCTCCAACATTCCCCTTTAAACTTGAATCACCAAATATTGTAACTCCGAGCATTTTCCTTAGTTTCACAAATGTTGTTGTTTTGAGGGGCTTTATAAATATGTCTGCAACTTGATCTTCACTTTTCGTGTATTAACTGGATCTCTTCTTTTCTTATGCATTGTCGTATGAAATTAAATCTTGTGTCGATATGCTTGCTTCTATCATGGAAGACTGGATTCTTTCCTAACTGGATTGCTGACTTGTTATCCACGTATATCTTTGTGGCTTCTTGTTGTTGAACTTCTTTCAGCAAATTTCTTAACCAGATAGCATGACATGCTCCTGCAGCAATAGCTACATACTCTGCTTCACATGTCAATAGAGTTACTATTAGTTGTTTCTTTGAGGACCACATAAATGTTGTATCTCCGAGACAAAACATAAACCCAGTAGTACTTTTACGATCATCCACATCACCTACCCAATCACTGTCGCTGTATCCTACTAATTTGAATTCATCTGTAAATGAGTAAAACAATCCGTACTCTATTGTACCTTTCACATACTATAGGATTCTTTTGGTTGCTATCAGATGTGGCGTTTTGGGTTCCTCCATATACCAACTAAGTAAGCCTACTGCAAACAATATATCAGGTCGCGTGGCTGTGAGGTATCTTTGGCTTCCAACTAGACTTGTGAAATACGTTGGATTAACCTTATCTCCTTTATCATACTTGGACATCTGGTTACTTCCATTTTTCAGTGTGTCGACGGCTTGACAATTTTCCATGCCAAATTTCTTTATGATTTCTTTGGCATACTTAGCTTGTGATACAAAAATGCCTTCATTACTTTGATTGACTTCTATGCCCAAGAAATATGCCAAGAGTCCGATGTCTGTCATCTCAAATTCTTGTATCATGGATGCTTTGAAATCTCGGATCATGTCAAAATTGTTGCCTGTGAATATTAGATCATCAACGTAAATACAAACAAATAGCAAATCTCCCCCCTTGTTTGTCTTGAAGAAGAGGGAATGTTCATAAGGACATTTAACAAACCCATTTAATATAGAATACTTGTTATTCTTGCATTCCATGCCCGTGGTGCTGGCTTCAAGCCATAAAGCGCTCGCTTTAACTTATACACTTTATCTTGTTAGGCTGGCTTCACATAGCCCAACGATTGTTCAACGTACACTTCTTCAAGATAACCATTTAAGAATGCTGATTTGACATCCATTTGATATATCTTCCATTTCTTTTAGGCTGCTAAACAGATAAAAAGTCATACCGTTTCAAGAGAAGCTACTGGAGCAAAAACTTCATCATAGTCTATGCCATATTGTTGCTTGTAGCCTTTCACGACCAATCTTGCTTTGTATTTTTCAATATCTCCTTTAGCGTTTCTTTTTGTCTTATACACCCATTTGACACCAATTGTTTTGTGTCCTTCTGGTAAGGATGTAAGTTCCCAGGTGTTATTTCTTTCTATGGCTTGGATTTCCTCATTCATGGCTTGTCTCCATATGGCTTCTTTTTGTGCTGTTTCAAAGTGAATAGGATCACTTCCAGAGAATAGACAAAACATTGGGAAATCTTCATCATCTTCAAGTCTTCTTGTAACATCATATAGATCTTGAATGGTTCTAGTCCTGCATACTATATTCTCTGTTGTTGGTGAAAAGCTAGTACTTTCTTGTTGTGTACTGAGTTGTTGAGTACTCATTCTTGCTCTTGTCCCGCCTTGAGGTGAATGCGGGTGACTGCAGACTTCAATTCCAGTAGTTGGATTATCTTCATTATGGATTATAGGGACCTTAGTTGCAGGAATCGTGCAACTAGGTGTAAGAATCGCAATTCCGCAATTTCTAGAAAGAAACCTGTAAGAATCGCGTTTCTGTGGAGAGAGAAACGCGATTCAGTCCAAGATGGGATCGTAAAGAGGAGAGAGAGAGAGAAACCCTAACCTTCGACGTCGACATGAGAGGAGAAAGGGCTTCGATCATCTTCGTCACTCTCGCGATCGTCTTCGTGTCGAGAGAAGCTTGGAGTACAAGGAGTACGGAAAGCAGAAGATATTTCGCTCCCGTACAATATTGACACCTAATAAACTACACATCAAAAATAAATAAATAAATAAACTAATTTATTCCTAGCAATGCTGTAAAATATTTTACTCTGGATCCTTCTTCGGTCAAATGATAGCACATTTCACAATAAGCCCACTCTTCCACAGCTCAACATGATCCTCCAGAGAGAATTCCATTGTTCTAACGTTTTCTGGTGATATAATTTTTTATTTATAATATATATCAATTAAAATAAAAAAAAAATTAACAATAATACATTATTTAAAAAATATAATAAATAAATAAAATAATTAATGTACATTAAAATAAAAATATTTATAAAAAAACTTCTAATGTACATTAAAATATATATATATATATATATATATTACCGCTCCCTGAGACGCTCCCAACCTAAGAAACTTCTATCGGCTCACGATTCCCCGCTCCTGCTCCCGCCCCCGCTTCGTGCAACTAAGATAGGGACTAGTTCTTGACTTGGGTTCTGCCAATTCCAGCTTAATGCTTCATCAAATTCAGCATCTCTTGAATAGAATACTTTCATTGTGATGGGATCATAAAGTCCATATCCACTTTCTCCATAGCCGATGAGAACATATTTTTGGCCTTTATCTTCTAGCTTCGTTCATTTCTCGTCTGGAATTTTTACATAGGTTGTGCATCCAAAAATCCTCAAATGATCAGCTTTGGCTTTCTCAAGCTCCACGCTTCCTCAGGGGTCTTGTTTAGTAATCTCTTAGTTGGAAAGCGGTTGAGCAAATATACTGCACGAATAACAGCTTCTCCCCAGAGCTCCTTTGGCATAGCTCTTTCTTTGATCATGCAAGGAATCATATTTAGGATCGTTCTATTCTTTCTTTTTGAGACACCATTTTGTTGAGGTGTATATGGGATAGTATGTTGATGAATAATACCATTTTCTTTGCAAAATCTTTCGAATTCCTTTGAGGTATATTCTCCTCCACAATCAAATCTCATCGTCT